GTGAAGTTTTGTTTTACAGCTTGCCAAGTCATGTTTTTTTTAGTTATCGTCCTGTTTTGCTGACATTCAGGTTTGATCGAAGGAGTCTGCTGGAAGGGCTGGCTGTAGTGATATAATTGGAACATAGTAAATTCATTTCAGGAATTGGCTGCAATTGTGCTTCAGCACGCCACAGTAGTACCCAAGCCAAAGACGAAACCTACAGATATGCGGTAACGAATACTTATCGTATGTAAGTAGTTGATTATCGCTCGCGTTGTAAATGTATTATACTCATTACGGCTTCGGTTAACAGAGATATATATGCTTGCATGATTTCAACTTGTTCGTTTGTTTTATCCTCATTCATTTATTTATTCGACCATCTCAAAGACACACCTATGGTACATGGAATCAGCGTAATACTAATGGTTGAGTGGTCAGCTGGTTCGTTTTAATCATTTTAATGTGATCGTGTGGAGTGGATCATTTCCATAATGTGTGATCGCATTGTGAAATCGAGCAACTTTTTAATTCCATTTTACTCGCGGTTGTTTTTCGCCTTGTTTTATTTACGCTTTCATTTGTTTGTTTTGTGAAATGTGTGAATGGTTTTAATGTAATCATATAACAGGTCAGTTCGTTTTACTTTGTTTTCGTTTTTGTAATTGTTCTGTTGTTTTTGTTGTAGCTGCTATGCAGAAAAATTATATGTTGAATTGATTAATTCCGATGTTTCATTTCGTTTTTAGTGGACCACTGAAGCAAAAAATTCACTAATTGTAAACGTTTATTGCTGACTTCTATTCGGATTTACGTTGCAAAATATGTCAATGTTTCTAATCTTCATTCTGCACTTGTATTGTTTATTTGCGTGTAATGAAATAGTTGTATAAGTGTTCAAAATGCTTTCATGGTAAGTTTACGCTTGTGAATTGATTCTATTATTGTGACTACCATTCTTTTGAGCGATTCTTTTAATCTGATTGTATATTTTCTCAATGTTCCATTCGAAATAAATGTGGGGCAAATGAGAGATTCAACTGCTGCGGGAAATCATATAGGTTGTCGTTATGATGAAATTCCTCGAAATAGAGGTGTTTCAATAATCCTTACTGAAGTAAATACGTGCTTACTGAGTGCTGTTTGATTGTCTTCTTGAAATGATCGGTTTTTGTATTTGATACTATAAAAACTT